TGATATTCTCTGTCGCCACCCCCCCATCTGTTCCGATTAGGTAGCCTTGCCTTGCCGGCGCGCCAGTCAGTTCTTGTTTTGATTAGTTACAGCCTTATAGAGTCATTCCCTTTATTTTATTAATTATTCCCTCACTTTTTACTCGAAAGTTTATTTCAGTTTTAATCTCAACAGTTTATTTTGACTTTAATCTCAAAATCTTTTATTTTATCTTTTGGGTGGCCCTAATACTCTTCTATGGAAAACCAATGTTTACAACACATCAAGCTGCAACACACAGACTAATATTCTGAGGCAGCAAGATGAATTAAAAACATAATAGCCTCTACCAGAAGTGAAAAATGAAAGAAAAAAAGACAAAGAAAGAAAAGACAAAGCAGCCAAAATAGGCAACTTGTATATATATATATATATCAGGGTTGGGGCCATTCCGGAATGCATTTATCAATTTCAGTCCAAATCAGAAAATGAAATTAAATCTCCCTGAAATTCTAATTCAATTAGCTTGGATTACACACACACACACACACACACACACACACACACACACACACACGGACACTACCAGTTAAGAGGTTTTGCACACCAAAGGTTTTAAGCACTTTTCCATTTATTTAATGAAGTTTAGATTTTTACACTGAACAAAAATATAAACGCAACACTCTTGTTTTTGCTCCCATTTTTCATGAGCTGAACTCAAACACAGGAAAATTTTTCTACATACACAAAAGACCCAATTCTCTCAAATATTGTTCACAAATCTGTCTAAATCTGTGTTAGTGAGCACTTCTTTGCCAAGATAATCCATCCCACCTCACAGGTGTGGCATATCAAGGTGCTGATTAGACAGCATCAATATTGCACAGGTGTGCCTTAGACTGCCCACAATAAAAGGCCACCCTGAAATGTGCAGTTTGATCAAACAGCGCTGTTGCCCGTGAAATGAATGTTCATTTCTCTACCATAAGCCGTCTCCAAAGGTGTTTCAGAGAATTTGGCAGTACATCCAACCGGCCTCACAACCGCAGACCACGTGTAACCACACCAGCCCAGGACCTTCACATCCAGCATGTTCACCTCCAGGATCGCCTGAGACCAGCCAC